ATCACTACTTTTATACTTTTGTTTTGTCTGAGCAGCCAACCTCTCAATACTTGGATATTGAGTTTCATGCATGTAATTGTTGCTGCACAGTAGTATGTTTCTAATCATTGATTTTGCTGAGCTACAGTTTCTATATTTGTCACCTGAAGTCAATGTTTCAACTACATAGGATGTGAACAGGATTGTCTTCTGAGTTTTTTCTTATGATTTTTCGGAAATGAAATTTGAAAGATATGTTGTTGTCAACGGCTTTGTCTTTATTTTTTGTTGATTGTTGATTTGACTTTCTTAATTCATGAAGTGTTTTTTAACTTTCTTTTAGTTTTTATACTTGGTGGAGATAAACTTAAACTAAAAACATAAATGCAAACTAGATAAAACATAATGCAACATCTTCTATTGTGTTTCATTAAATCATGATTCTTTTTGTTTAACTTTATCTAACTTGATTCTGACATAATACCATACCTGTTCCTCGATTTGTGCTGCCCTCTATATGCAAAATTTTTTATTCCCACTAGCCTTGGTGCTCCCACATACCCTCATGTGTTTACACATGGTTTAGTTGCACTATAGCATGCAAATGAGCATGCAACAATCTTACATCAATAGTACAGCTGTCTCTTTTTATACTGTAGAGCACTCTCATCAGTTCTCGATTTGGCATTCACGAGTGCATTTGTGCTAAGTTTTGCTCAGTACTTCATGTTTTTGTGTTCACGTTAACATTTTTTGCTATATTTTTGACAATTTTACATTTGTGGGCATTTATATTTTTAATTTTATTTTCCACATGATGAACTTTCAATTTCATTTAACAACTACAGCTTCTGGTATAGATCCTGCCACACTTAGTAGTACTGTGGTTTCAGACTCCACACTTTTGGCCATATTATGTCATGTATTAGAGTCTCAAATGTGGCTTCAACATCACCTGAGCCATAGTCAGGTCTTCCATTTCCTGGAAAATCTGTTCCTGCGGATGAATACTTGGACAGCCTTTTTTCCATTGCCTGCTTTTGTGGCTCCTTTCTGATCTACCCCGCTGGATCTCTCGCATCTTTTTTCATTCTTTTTGGACATGATCTCTCAAGTTTGTTACCTTTGTATCTTTCCCCTGTTTTTTATAATTCTTCGCCTCCCTACTTCATTCTGGCCTGATATCATATTATTTGGTTTTACCCCCCCCCCCACTAGCTATTTATGTGCATAGTGAACAATTCCTTACCCAACTGCATTTAGGGGCCAGCATGTCTAGACCCCATGTTTGGCTGACTCTCATGCTTTGGCATACCATCAGTCTGAGTTTTCATTTCTTGACTCTCAGACCTCAGAATCACTGATTCAGGAATGGGGCTCTGACCCCACTACTATCCTTCATTTTTCCTCAGCCCAGCATTCTTGTCTTCATCTTACTCTCATAACTGTCCTCCATTATTAATCATCTGTTCACCTTCTTTCTGAAACTATCACTGTTTCCCTTAGAGATTTTTAGCAGATGTGCATGCCTTTCTTATCTCTACATTCGTAGGTTTATCTTCTTCTGCTTTGTTCCTCCAATCGTGGCTGCTTTGTTGTTTGGATCTCCTTGGCAGGGATGCCCTTTTTCCACACATGCATCTGTTGCTGCTTTTTCTGCATGAACTTTGCCTGGCTCCTTCCTTGTGCCAGTCTGTTTTGGGAGATATCTCTGATACTTTAGAATCTTGGATGGAGGCTGCATGCCAACATTCTTCTATCTTCTCCCTTGTTTCTCATCTTTCCCAATCCTCTCCTGTTCTTATTTCTCTGTCTTATCATCCAGCATTCTTACCTCTACTGGTTCCACATTTCTGTGTTTGAGCTACAAGTTGTCAGACTGCCCGTTGTCACCTTTTCTGGCTCCAGTATTGCCAGTGACTACCTCTTGGGTTCTGGCTCCATGGGGTGAGGTTGGCCAGATTTGTTCATCTGTAGCATCCTTTTACTGCAGATTCTTGAGTTCTTTAGGTGCTAGCAGAAGGACTGTTTCTTTGTTTCTTCCACTCCCCCATTATCTCCATTTCTTTCCCTCTTCCTCAAGATCCACTTTCTTGCTAGCATCTCTCCAAAGTGGTTCAAGATCTTATGAGAAAGGATGCAATAAAACAAGTCTTTCACCCTTCTCCAATATTTTATTTCCTTCTGTTCATTGTCCTCAAGAAAATTGGAAATGTGTTCAGTTATTGACCTTTCAAATCTCAACTGCTTCATTGACATCCCACATTTCACAATGGAGTCTTTTCTCACCCTCGGGTGGTCATTCACTCCAGGTCTTTGTATGATCGAGGTCGATGTTTCTGATGCTTACCTTCATATCCATATTTCTTCTGTTGTTTGTTCAAGGGGGTCATGTGTTTCAGTTCTGCACTCTCCCATTCGGTCTGGCATAAGCTACGCATGTCTTCTGTCATGTAGTCAGGGCTTTTGCCTGTCATCTACAAAACATGGGACTGCAATTTCACCATTACATGAATGACTGGCTCCTTTTGGCCCCTTCCCAACATGCCTCTTGCTACCATACTCATTTCCTCCTTCAGGAGGTGGGTTGTTTGGGGTGATATTTCAAACTGGAGAAATCCCATTTCTCTCCCATCCAGTATCTTATTCATCTGGGAATGTTTTTCAACACATATCTTATCAGGGCCTAGCCTTCTCCCATATATTTGCGGGATATGGAGCATTTGGTTTCCAAACTCAAGACTTTTCCTGCACATGAGGTTCTCTTTCTTTTGAGGACCTGGGCTTCCATGGAATCCCTTGTCCCTTAGGGTTGTGCACACATGTATTGCCTTCAATGGGTGTTTCACAATTAATGGACCTTTGTTTAGGATCCCTTGGACTCCTCCTATTTTCTTCCTTCCACCCTCCAAATTGACTTTGCCTAGTGACTTGACAGAGACAATACCTCAGTTGGCATTCCTCTTCCTCCTCCCTGTCCCAATTTTCATCTCTTACAGAATGGGGTTGTACTTAGATTCTCAGGAAATAGCTGGTCATTGGTCGGAGGTCGAATCTACCTGACACATCAGCCTATTGGAACTTCTGGCTGTATGGTGGGCATTGGATTCATTTCCTGCCTGTAGTATGTGAGCATCTGATCATGATTCATTCCAGCAAGTCGACAGTTATCTTTTACATCAGTTGTCAAGGTAGCATCTCATCTTGTTAGTTTTGTACCCACACACTGGATATTCCTTTCTGGGCTCAATCTCAGTAAGTCTGTCTTCTTATATGTCACATCCTGGATGCTCTCAATCTTATGGCAGATTGGTTCTCTTGTCCCAAAAAGATTCTACTGATGGAGTTGTCTCTTGCTCCTCAAGTGTTCTGGTGTTATGCTCTCAGCTGAGTACCCCCTTCTGGATGCCTTTGCCACCCAGCTCAATACTCAACTTCCCTTCTTCTGGTCTCAGTTCTGCATCCTTTTGCTCTGGCTGTGTATGTGTTCAGTCAGATTTGGTCCAATCTTTACTGTATTCTTATCCTCCCATCTATTTTCTTCCCTCCATTCTCTCTCTCTTATTCAAACCACTCTGTTCCAAGTCCTTCTCATTGCTCTGTTCTGTTATCTCCTCCCATACTTTTTTGTCCTTCCTGATCCCTTTTTTGGCAATTTCATTCCTCCATCTTTCATACTATAGCCACACTTTGTCTCCATGTTTAGGTTTAGTTTGGTCCTTTGCGAGGTATTCTGGACTCTCTATGAGATAAGCCTTCTTCTTTTCTTACTTTGTCTGGTCTTCTTTCTTGTTGAATTACCAGCATAAATGTTGCATATTCTGTCTCTGGTATTTGTGTCACAATTTCTTATCTTCCTAACTGTTCCCCACCTCTCTGATTTTTTTACTTGGGTCTTTGACAGTGGCTTATCTGTTTCCATCATTGCTGGATATAGGGTGTCATTATCCAATACATTTTATTTTTACAGCTTCTGCCATATATTTTCCTCTCCCATCATTTTTCTTCTACTTCATTATTTTTACCTGCTTTATACCCCTTGTCTAGTTGCCCTACCTCAATTTTGTCCTTCATGCCTTTACTCTCCTCCCTTTAGAGCTCTTAACCTCTTACTCTTTGGACCATTTGTCTCTGAAGACTTATTTTTGTAAACCTCTTTGCTTGTGGTTGTCATAGGTCAGGTGTCTTTGCTGTTGATGTTTCCTGCATTGTTTTTCATATGTCCTTCTTTATCCTGATTTTATTTTTTTTCCCAAAATGTCAGCAATGCGTGAAGGGAACAGTACCTTCATTTATATTTCTCCTTCTGTCTATTCCTCACCTATATTTCCGTTCTGATCCAGATTGTCTTCTTTGTCCTTTGCTGTCTCTTCATTGTTATGTAGCCTACACAATTTCTTTTCACAGCTTCTGTTCTCGCCTTCTTATCTCATGGAACTCCTCCTCTGTGTGGGATCTCTCTCATGTAACCCTTATCAGAAGGCTCCATCAATTTATTCATCTGGCTTATGTGTTATTGTCTGAGGATTCATTGCATCTTCCAAGTTTCCTCTCACCAAATCTGTCATCTCACATTTTCCCTGGC